TTATCAAGCTTAGCTCGAACAGACTAAAACTCGGCTCAGCCCGAATCGTTTGCAGCCCTAATTGCTACCACTTCAGCTGTCCTATGTGTGAGAAAATACAGGTCATCAATGGTGTAATTACTTTGCTACCCCTTTTAATGACTTGAAAATGTCCTTTTTAACCCTATATATGCTTTATAAGTCAATCATATAGATTAACTTGTATTTCCTCCTGTTTGTTTGTTTGTTTGTTTGTTTTTTATTTTATTTTATTTATTGTTTTTTTTTTTTATGTCATATACTATTAATCAATATGATCAACTACGCAATCAAACAGACTTTTCTGCCTAGTTTGTGTGATATGAATATTGTGCAGGTGCACATATTATGATTTGACATTACAACAACATCAACATAACCATCAATAACAATCGAAGCCTTATTCCCAAAATGGACTCGACTATATGAACCAAGATTTTATCTCTTGTACTCTAATATACAAAGTAATAAACTATTGAGTGACACATGATCATGTATATATTATTTTTCTAGCAGTAATCTATTAGTACCTTTCAGGAATGAGAGAATAAATTGGGCAATCTCATATTATACAAGACATACTTGTGTTTTGAAATGTATTTTTCATCTGTGTGAGCAGCTCGGAATGGCGAGTGCACTAGAGACTGTATGTGGCCAATCATATGGTGCAGAGCAATACAATATGGTGGGCATACACATACAGAGAGCCATAGTTTTGCTGATGTTGATAAGCATCCCCATTAATGAAATATGTTCATATACCGAAACTATTCTGGTGACTTTAGGACAGGACCATGAGATTGCTGCTGGAGTTGCTCTGTACACCTGGTTTATGATTCTAAGTCTTTTTGCCTATAGTCTTCTTCAATGCTTTATCAGATTCTTCCAAACACAAAATATAGTCATTCCCATGATGCTGACCTCTGGAGTCACTACTTTGTGTCACATATTAATCTGCTGGTTGTTGGTGTACAAATTTGGCCTAGGAATCAAAGGAGCTGCCCTTGCAAATACTATATCGTACTGGATTATTTGTCTTCTGTTAGCACTTTATGTAAAATTTTCTTCGGCGTGTTCAAGAACTTGGACCAGCAGCTTCTCTAAAGCGTCATTTCAAGGTATCCCTGCTCTACTGAGGCTCGCTATACCATCAGCTGTCATGGTCTGGTAACGTTCTATTACATTCCTGTGGGAAGGACTTACATTTGCAATGATTTTAGCTGCTAAAGAAAACATTTAATATGTGCTATGATTTAGTATTTTAAAGAACTTCCTTTTCTGTGATTAAAACAACTTGGAAATGTGGTCTTTTGAGATGATTGTTCTCTTGTCTGGTCTTCTGCCGAATCCAGCATTAGAAACTTCAGTGCTTTCTATCAGGTTGGTCTTTGAACATTGCACTTTGTTGTTCAACTTAAGGATCATCTCTATGAAAAAATAAAACTCTTCTGTTCTATTTAGATTATGACTTCATGAGAATGAAACTATTATCTTAAAACATTTATTAGTCACATAAAGAAGAAAATGTAGTGAACTATTCTTTATTTACAACATGTTAATATGACGACGCAGATATTTATTCAAGGGCCTCAAGGCACAGTGTGATACAGTTCTAAAAAGAGGATTGTTTTTAATTATACCTAAGCTCTGGTACTGAGCAGTCCTAATTACTGTCTAAACACGTAGTAGACATGGCATGTTAATACTTCGCGATCTTTTTCCTCTGGGTGGGAGGGGACTTTTTTTGAATAATTTGATATATATGATTATGAAAGGAGTTGTATTTATCTTGGAATTCAACTTCTTGCAGCCTCAATACTACCTCACTTGTTTGGGTTGTTCCTGAAGGTTTTAGTGGTGCTGTAAGGTAAGCTTTGGTTTGTTTCCCTTGCTTTCGGAAATATAGTAATTACTTATCTTCTTTTATGTTGCTTACTTGTTTGTCTTTCATAAACACTGCCAAATCTTCTTTGAACTTTCTTAGAGAATTGTTCTGATTAGGGAAGGGCATATACAATAAATATAGTAGTAGATTCTAAATTCTCTTTGGGGTTCTGTCCCCAGTACTAGGGTCTCCAATGAATTGAAGCTGGGAATCCAGAAGCAGCAAGATTAGCAGTATATGTTGTTCTATGTATGACAGTCTCTGAGAGCATTGTTGTGGGGTTGATCCTTATATTGATACGAAATGCGTGGGGTTATGCTTACAGTAGCGAGATGGAAGTGGTCAGATATCTTGCTTCCATGATGCCCCTGCTAGCATTAACCAATTTTGTAGATGGACTCACTTGTGTCTTATCTGGTAACACCTACATTATTGACAATATCAACTTCAAACAGTTATGTTTTGGAACCTGCCAATTTGGTTACTAGTATATGTTTCTACTAAATCTGTGTGCTTAACTGAGGCATGCATGGTATATAGTTGTAGCAAATCAACAATGACAGTCTTTTCTAATTTTCTGAGGCATGCGTCTTATGTAGTGCACAGTATTTTCTGATTTTCTGTAAACATCCAGGCACTGCTAGATGATGTGGTTGGCAAAAGATTGGTGCATATATCAATCTAGGGTCATTTTATCTTGTGGGTCTTCCAATTGCTATCCTGTTAGCGTTTTTCATGAACATTGGAGGAAAGGTAATTATTCACTCCTTTGCAGTATTAAAACGCCTAAATGATTGTTTTAAAAATTATTAACCATTATTGCTGCCTTGAATCTCTTCTTAAAGGGTCTATGGTTAGGGATTTTATGCGCAATCACTCTTCAAGCTATCTCCTTCCTTGCTATTACTATGCAAAACTGAAGGCTCCACCTTGATATTTTTATTTAAGTTTATGATGGAAGTCAAAACATATGTAATACAGTATTATGTTGCATTGGACTGTACGAATTGATATATTTTATTAAGCCCATAATACATTATGTCTTGAACTCTATTATTATTTTGGCAGGATTATTTAAGCCTACATTGATGGCTTGTTTATCTTGGTATATCCTGTTGGTATTTCAATTATTATCGTTAACAAATTTGTTTTGCAGAAGGTTAAATATTTATCTTTAACTGATTTATCTTTGATAATGATAAGATAAATATCTCTAACAAATTTGATTTGCAGGCTCCTTGAAACATGGGATAATAATGATATTATCTTTTGAATAAATGCTTTATTATCCTAACAACTTTTAGTTTCAGGTTTTTAAATAAAGCTGTTTTTATTCCTTGGAAGTAGGCTGGAATTACTTGCTGCTTTGTACGTTGGTTTCGAAGTCCCAAAAATACAGCAAGATGAAAAGCAACGTTTGAATTTTGAAAGCTGCTAAATTGAAGGAATTATGTTGAAGTTTTTCAAACCTTTGAAACAACCCTACAACGTTTGAAATCACTCTTGAGGCCTTATAAATAACGTCAAGATATGCTGAAGAATCAACAACGTAGAACAAGAACACTCGAGAATTATCAAGCTTTATACACTATATAGCAAGAGTGTTAAATATTTTCTTGTAAGTTCTTTAATACCTTATTGTGTGATTAGATTGAGAGAAAAGAAAAGTGTATCTAAGAGTGGAAAAAGTATATATCAAAAGAGTGATATACTTAGAGTAAATTTATAATACTCAAAGTATAGTAAAAGTGAGTTAGCTTTTATTTCTGGGAATTGAGTGTCTAAGGTGTAGCTGGGGTGCTGCGGAGAGAAGATAGTGAGATCTTCTAGGGTGCTTTAGAACTCTAAGGGAAGAAATAAAAGTTGGTTAAAATCCTACGGGTTGGACAACCCTAGGCGGAGACGTATGCCTTTGTGCTGAACTTCGTAACAATTTCCTTGTGTGCTTTACTTTCTGTTCTTGCACTTATTTTTGTGTTGCTTAAACTGATCATTTGCTAAATTCAAACAAACGCATCTAACATTCTGATTAGCAATCAGCTTCGTTGTATCAATTGTTTTCAAAGCCTTGACTTTAAGTCTGAAATTAGTTTATTCCGCCATGAAACTAATCTCAAGACCTTGACATTTTGTGTTTTGCGAAAAACGCCCATACTTTATTCAACCCTCCCTTCTAGAGTATTATTGTGTTCATTCCATTACCATTGTAATCCTTTCAAAAACAAACTGGGAGGAAGAGGTAAAGCCTCAACCAACTTTCTACATTCTTTGCAATTAAATTCATCTCCCTTTAATATCAATTTGACCATTGTCTTGTGATACTTCTTTAGGCCAAGAAAGCTACGGAGAGAGTCTTTGAATCCAAAGTTCCCAAAGAGATGGTTTTCTGATAGGAAATCAGCTTTTCAAACTGATATAATGCTTTGATCTTTTGACCACAAGCAAAACTCTGCATTCCTTGGTACAAAATGAACGTATGAGGTGAATTTAACCTTCCCTGTTGCCATAAGGATCTTCAAGATTCCAGATTCCTATCAGCGTCGAGGGCCAATGCATGTTGAGTTGGAGAACATTTCCTCCATATCCAGACGAAGCTCAACAGCAGAATGATACAAACAGAAGCAGAATGATCCAGTTGTTTGCAAATTATTCAACTTTTGTCGATTTCCATTGTGCTATGATCCATGTATAACTAAACTCCATGACTCTTGAGGTTATGTTATAACCGGAACCACAGGGCAAGCAAATTCCACTTCTCAAGCTCTTATGCAAATCACCTTTTGCCCCAACACAGATTATACTGGTTACATGTTGTAGCACCTTTGGTGGCGTTGTAGAAGAACTGAAGAAGTATTTCCTAGTTCATGATCGAGTACTTCATTTTATTTTAGTCAAACTCAAATTTGAGCTTTGTAATATGTTCAAGTTATGCTTGTCTAAGGATCAATGTTATGTAGCAAAGCTAATCAAAAAACTTTTTTATATAGCCTTATTGGGTTAATTTACTTAATTAGATCAAAGATTTACTTCATTCTCTTATAACTCATTTTAGAATATTATTATTATTATTTTTTAGCATATTAAAGCTTGTAGTAGCTTAACTTCAAAACAATAATGGTAATATCTTAATTATAATAATGTTTTTGAAAATTAAATATACATTCAAACATACAATTCTAATTTAGTGTTCACACCAATGCTGATAGTCACAAGAATCAGAGACCATGATTCTATATTTGTAATGAAAAGATGATTGACAATTGAGTTGTATTGTATGAAGTAAATGGTACGTGACTAAATGGTCTTCTTCCAAAATGAACAAGTTAGTTGATTGACACCGGCAACTTGAGCAAGGGGATGGCTTTCTTTATGTTGTCCAGGGCCTTCTCGAGAGTGGAAAGAGATTCTGCATATGAAATGCGAATACAGTTGTCATCCCCAAAAGCATCTCCCGGAACAAGTGCCACCTGAGAATGCCAACATTAATTTTAAATATCCCTTTCCATATTGCTGTCGAATATCATTTCTTACAAGCACTAAGGAAAGAGAGTGACATTGATCAATTGCACTCTACATCAAAAAATCAGTACAAGCTTACCTGAGCTTTGTCAAGTAAAAAGCGACAGAGGGATTCTGACCCATTTATGGCACCAAACCCTTCAGCTTCTGAACCATAATAAGAGCTGAAATCGAGAAACAGATAGAAAGCTCCCTGCAAAAAGTCCAGTCAACATAATTGGCTCCCAATACAGAAAGAGATTTGGGAGGGAGGATTTTTTTGTCATGCAGCAAGTACCTGAGGATCGGATATCTTTACACCTTCCAGCTCACTGAAACCTTTAATTAAGAAATCACGTCTCTCTCTAAATGCTTTTACCATTGTTGCCACTGTCTCCCCACCAGCCTTACCCATTCCAAGAGCAGCAACTCCAGCTTTTTGGGATATACTGCAGGCACCTGAAGTTGACTAGAACAGCAGAACAAATAAACCAACTGCAATTCAGGGTTTGAATTTACATCTATGTTTTGAATTTTTAAGCACACTTTGAAAATCAGTGTACACTTCAACTTTCATTAAGTTCTATGAATGCTACACTTGTTAACTTAATAAAACAAAAAAAAAAAAAAAGAAATAAATAAAACCCTGATATTGTCATAATCAAAACAAGTCATCAGCCAGATAATTCGAGCTACCATTGTGTTTTAATATTTGACATTCAAAACAATTTGATAAGTTTTACTATCATCACTTGTTTAAGCTTATCAAAATTTCGAATTAAAAACATTCAAATTGGTAGCTTTAAGTTCAGTAGGTATACCTGGCTCTGAATCTTTCCACTAGCAGCAACAAAATGTTTTGGACCAGCAAGATATCCAAGTCTCCAACCAGTCATAGCAAAGGCCTAAGATTGTCAAATAAAGTCGAAGAGTGAGACTAGAGTAGAAATCACAACAGCATACTAATGCAAATTAATTTAATAGATTGTCATCCACAAATTGCACACTAAAGAAGCAAAACGATCTAAAGGAGCAATCTACATCAGCAAACTCAGTAGCCCATCTGCATATTACCTTGGAAAAGCCATTGACAGTCAAAGTCCTCTCCCACATTCCAGGTAGTGAAGCAAAGCTAGTATGCTTAGCCGGTGAATAGATGATATGCTCATAAATCTCATCAGACAAGACCTAAAGAGAAAATCATACTTTGACAATTAGAACCACAATGATATGCGTATACATGTAAGAAGTCAGTCTGATACTACCAGAAGTCGGGGGTGTCGTGCTACAATTGCAGCAATCTCTTCAAGGAGTTCCTTGGGATAAACAGAACCTGTTGGGTTGGATGGTGAGCATAGAATCAACAACCTTGACTTCTCATTAAGTTTTGACTCCAGATGCTTCGGGTCCATTAAAAAGTTACGAGATATTCCAGTGTCAACAATCACAGGAGTTGCATCAGCCAACCTTGCCATTTCAGGGTAACTTACCCAATAAGGTGCAGGAATTACAACCTGAATTTGATTCATAGGCAAATCCATTGATATCAAGAGTGCTATAAAGTTAGCTATATAGAACAAGAAACATCACTAGTAAATAAATTTTCAAAACAATCAAGATATTCCATGTATATGTTAAAACACAATGCTATTTATCAATTCGATTGCAAAGTCATGCAGAACTGCAGATTGCAGACCCTTGTCACTCATAGGTCAGAGAGATAATCATCAGGTTGATGGGCAAGGTAGCAAAATAATAACTGCCAAATACTACAATGAAAGAAAAGAATCCTTGCAGCTGCCATAATTTAGTTTTGTCATAATCCCATTGCAGAACATTGAAAGGTGATTAGTCTGACAGAGAGTTAAATTATTATACATGATGAAAACCGTCGAATGCAAAAGTGGCGCAACAAAACAAATGTTTCATACGATTTGATCCTGTGTCATTGACACAAATTTGTAATTTAATCACTTCTATAGTCCAACAAGCGCTCAATCTAAGCCTGCTAGCAACTGATAGAATTTACGTAAGGTCTAGTGAGGGTGGGAAGACCCACATCACTTGGAATATGGAGAGTGGGAGTTAGACAGGGTTTACATCACATGGATTGAGTATAAAATTCCATTTCAATTAACAGAAAGATTTTAGTAGACATTAGAAAAAGGAATACAAGAATTTTATGGATGGTAGGAATGTGAAAGCTATGTTTCCTTCACCTTATTTCTAATAACACATTAACTTACTCTTCTTATAATCAAAATAGATCATACCACACCAGTCTAGATTTTTTATTTTATTTTTTTTAATGTATTGCTCATTGCTAAAATTCTTATATTGCGTATTTATAAAAATTATGAAATAAAGATATATGTAAATTACAGATAAAAGAATAGTTCAACAAGATTTCACAAGAAGATGTTTTTCTTACTCCCTCCAGTACAGATTAATTGCACCGCTATGACCAGAGCAAGATTTTACGAAAACAATTGAATTCTTGGACTATGGAGAATATATTAGCACAGTCAAAACATTGGGTCAAATCAGGATAGATATAATAGATACTCCCTCTGTTCTTTTATGTCTTTAACAAAATGTTGAAGAATGTGGGTGGGTGTAAGAAAAGTAGGATAAAGTAGAAGAGAGAATGTAAATAGGTGGATTTATGTAAGAAAAAGGTGACTAAAGTAGGAGAAAGAATATGGAAAGGTGTAATTATTGTGAGGTTAAAGAGGTAGTATGGTAAAATGGGTAAGCCAAAAACAGAATAAAGCAAAGTGTAACATAAAAGAACGGACTAAAAAGTGGGTATAACAAAAAAGAATGGATGGAGTATTAGTTAAGACCCAAATAATTTAGAATCACAGACCATACTATACAAGATCTGAGAAATTTTATATCATTACGCCTTATTTTGACACGGCCATAAAGCAAGTGACTCACAGGTCACTAAGGTGTCAACATTTGTTAGCATGTGACAATACATAGTCTTCAATAAGCATAATAAGAGTGAAATCATGTCCACACATTCATTGGACAAAATTACAATAGTTTGAGGAAACAGTTTATTTTAAATGAAACTTTGATATGATGATATGGAAATACGTAGCAAGTGTAATAGTTAGTTTAAAAGATCAACCAACTCACCTCATCTCCGGGTGAACAAACACCAAGCACTACTTGTAGAATAGATTGTTTAGCTCCATTACTCACTAAAATTTGATCTGGGGAGTAATCAATTCCATTTTCCTCTGTACAAGAAAGCTAGACTTTAGCTTCTTTTTCTTTCTTTTAATCAATCAAGATCCACAACAATCACACAAATAAAAGCAACAAGGCACTAACCTTTTAATTTGTGGCATATAGCAGTGCGAAGTTCCATAGTACCTGCATTTGGAGTATATCTAGTATGCCCTTCACGAATTGCATTAATGCCAGCCTATAAAGGAAAAAGTACAATTTTAGAAAAAAAAAAATAATAATAAAAAAAAAAAAATTTAATAGCTCCTGTTAAATGAGAGTATATAACATTGTAATATGAAGCAAGTTCAATATCAAAAAGCAATCAAATGAACATGATGTGTAATCAGCAATAAGGGTGACATAAGACCTCAGCTATCACCGGTGGGGTATCAAAGTCGGGCTCACCAGCCGCCAACCTAATTACTGGAACACCAGCTTGTACAAGAGCAGTTGCTTGATCTGTTATCGCAACTGTTTTAGAGGGCTTAACAGAGTTAACCCTTGGACTCAATGAGACATCTAGTTCAATAGGATCGGAAGTACTTTGAGATCTCATCACCACTCTTAGTCTAGGAAAAAACTCTTCCCTAATGTTTGATGTTCTGGTAATACACAACAAATGGATTAATTATTAAATTCATCAAGAAGAAAAACAACTATTTACCTAGAAGCAAGTCTCATGAAAGAAAGCAAGTTTATCAGCTACAACTCTGAACAATGACAATACACAAGATATAGGCTAAAAACCTAAGTGTTAGTATAATCTAGGATAAACAAGATATGTGTAAAGCACCACAATATTGAAAAAAAATTAAGAAATAGTAAAGCATGGATATGTACCACCAATATGACTTAAATGTTCCCTTTCACTTAACATTTAGATTGAAAACGACACAAAAACAAATTATGGTTGAAATATACAGATATTTTCAAAAAGTACAATGAACAAAAACTACAATTGTTAACTATAAACATAAAAGGAAAAATACCAATAATACTAAATAAGATTGAACATCACCAATTCAAATTACATAAGGAAATTTTCAGATTGAAATCAACATCTGGTCAAAACCTATGGACAGTAACCGCACAGCATTAATAGAAACAACATTTATCTACAAATAATTGTCAAATATTACCAATTAAGGAAAATATTAGCTTATATTAGCACATGTTTCCAGTTATGCACAAGGCAAAGGCACTGCCTCTACGCCCTCAATTTTTGTTTTTTGTGCCCCGGTATGACTTTTGCACTATTAACATATACCATTTTAATCAATGTTTGTGCTTCATACATATGATCAAACATAGCATATGGGTACCTGTTAAAATTGTCTCAATGTATAGTTTTCGAATATTAAATTTTTATAATTTATACTTAATGATAATTAAAGATATTATTTGTCAAAGCTCTAGCAAATCCGGTTAAACTGGGGCAATTAAAAATAACAGAGGGAGTAGGAAATAGGAACTTAAGTAATCGATTAGCCTCTGTTTGTTTTGACAAAATACATGTTCCAAGAAAATGTTTTCCCATTTTTCTTTGTTAGGTTTGTAAAAATGATGGGAAACAATTTAAATAGAAGAAATGCCATTTTTTCCAGTCTACTCTCAACATCGATATCTCCACTTCTTCTTCCGCTATAATTTCTTTAAGAAAAACAAACAAAAGAAACTTATTATCACAGCTGCGTTTTTCCCTTGAAAAGGGTTTGCCATGGAAACTCGTTTTCTCGAAACAAACGGAGACTTAAATACTAATGTGTGAACACGAACAAAAGTTATAATAAAGGACATTGCTCACCAAATACACAGGGACGCCGTTCATTTTCTTAACGATACATGTTAGTCCAACAAGTCCACACATAGAGCAATTGTAGTGCTTAACTTCTAATATTATGATCAAACAAATTCAGTTTACCTTTGTAGAGATTAATAATAAAATTTTTTCTTGGTTTTGGCATTTTAAGTTAATAAGAAATAGTATAAAATTATTGCAACGCCAATTCTTTAAACAATTTTTAATCATCAAAATACAGAAAGTGCACACTAAAATGTCCACCGGCCAACAAATCTATTAACTATTACTAAAATAAAACATTGTTGATGTCATCAATGTCCACATGTCACTCTCATAATAAATTTTTTCTCGTCTAAATGCAAAGATGATGTCATTTTTTCTCGTCTAAATTTTTTATTTATTTTTTTGGTGGAGCTACCATATTTAACAATCTTGAAATTTGAATATTAGAAGCTTCTACATTATAACTACAATATATCAATTTATCCTTAAAACATGAAACAATTGTAAATAGCACACTAATAAATGGCCTCCTAGAAATATGTATTAGACGATGTTAAACAGGTATTATATCATATTTATCCATTTTTTTTTTAAATGTACAAATTATAAAAATAGATTTTATATATACCGTCACATGGGTTATAACCTAGTCAATTAATTAAAAAAAATAAAATAAAATAAAAAATTCAAATCAAAAGCAATGAATTTGAAAAAATTCACAAGTAACTAAAATTGATGATACCAATACAAGATAAAGAATCAAATACATAATTCAAACTAAATTAAAATTTCGAATTGGACAATTGACAATATTTAAAAATGAGGAGAATCATACTTGAAAGAAATGCCGACGGGATGAGAAGAAAGCGAGATAGGTCGACCGGAAGGATCTCCGACGAGTTGGCGGCGGTGAGGTTGGTGGGAAAGAGTTGGTGAACAGGCGGCTTGGAGTTGCATAGTATTAGTTGGTGTCTGAGTCCACGAGCTGGTGGGTAGGTGGGAAAAAGAATAATCAAAGTAAAGTTGAGATGTTAAAATAAGAGAGAATAAATAACCATTTGCAAAACTACAGCTATTTATAAATGATCTAAAATACAATCACATACCCAAATGATTCTAACTCTACCTCATACCCCTTAAAAAAAAAATACTCCCTCCATCTACGGATTAACATGGATCGGATATCCAAAAAATCAAATACTGGACATCCGAAATTTTCAGATCGGATAGTTTAGATAACCTATCTAATAATATGGGTTTATCCAAAATTTTAATAAAAGAAAAATTTTAAAAACAAAAAAAAAAAAAAAAAACTAGCCAGCCCATCTACCCATCCCATCCCCACCCACGACAACCCCACCACCACCTTTCCCTATTTTCCGACAGCCCCCTTCCCATCTCCGGCAGCCCTTCTCCTCATCCCCCACCACTGGAATCCCCCTTTCCCCACCACATACTCAGCGAAATCCTCACCAAAACAGACAATCAAACAACCAAATTAAAACTACCCAGAAACCATTTCACTAAAAAAAAAAAATCAAATCAGCAATAAAACTTAAATTCCAACCAAAAAGCTTACTTGTTCGAGCAATTTCCTCATCAGAAAAGTCCTCAATATCATTATCAATAGAATTCGAAATGGGGGTAGAAATGGGCTTGTAAGAGGAGGGAACACCGCCAATTTCTTTATGATGCTTTATGATTCACAGCACCGAAAAATTGAAATTCGAATGAAAAAATCTCAAAAAGACCATATATTTTTACCAATTGAAACTTACCCAGTTTTTAAAATAATAATTCGAGCAAAATACCCTTATTTATGTGGAGTTTGTGTATGAGCAACTCCCATTCTTTTGCTTTGCTTGTGGTGTTATAGGGAACTCTGAGAAAGATTGTTTTACGGTATCGGAGGAGAGCAAAAAAGAGAAATTAGGATGGGGGAGATGGCTTAGGGCTTCACCTGGAAAGCGGAGGCTTAAAGAGGTCGAAGAATTGGAGGAAGTTCTGATAGCTCGCAAGCTAGAATTCACCAAAAAAAATGATATAACAGAGGAGGTGCATTGTAAGGAGAATGAGCCGGTGATTTTGAAGAGTGGGAGTGAAAGTAGCGAGCTTCAAGTTGTGCAAGGAGGGGATAATAATGTTGTGCATGTGCAGGGGTGTAGGGCTGATGTTGTGGCTAAGCTAATACAGTGGAGTATGGTTTAGTGGATAGTAAAGTAGGGGGTGATGGGGAATGTTGATGTGGTGGGGGTGGGATCACAAGTGGTGGTGGGGGAAATGGAAAAGGAGGTGCGTAGTGAGGATGCATTAATGAGGGTGTGTGAAAATGAGGAATATGTTTTGAGGGGATGGAGAGGGAGTTGGTGGGCAAAAAAGAAGTTTGGTTCGTATACATGCTGAAGTGGGAAGTGACGTGGGAGGGGAAGAGGCTAAGAGATTAAGGGGTGATTTTGCTAGTATTACCGGTGATAGTATAAATCAAGTAGAGGGTGTTGGTGTGGACCAAACCCTTGAAGGACAATGAAAATCCTAAGATGTAATGTTCGAGGGCTTGGAAACCCTTGGACTGTAAGAACTCTGTGTGATATATTTTGGAGAGAGAGGGCGAATATTTTTTTTTAATGGAAACAAAAGTGGATAGTTGTAATTTAGAGAGAATTAAGAGGCGGTGTGGTTTTGATGATGGGTTGTGTTTGAGTAGTAATGGAAAAGCAGGTGGTATTGGTTTTTGGTGGAGGGATGTTGGGATTTCGACGATTTCCTACTCTGTTCATCATTTTGCGATTGATGTATTAAATAGTGTAGGTGTTCCTATATGGAGAGCAATAGGTGTGTATGGTTGGCCGAAGACGGAAAATAAACATAAGACTTGGGAGATGATGATTAATTTGCACTCTGAGTGTAACATTCCATGTATTATGTTTGGTGACTTTAAAAAGATTGTAAGTATGAATGAGAAGGATGGTGGGGCGGTTAGAAGAGAGAGGTTAATGGATGCTTTTCGGGAAGCAATCGACATGTGTGGTTTGAGGGATTTGGGATTCTCTGGCAACATTTTCACGTGGCAGAGAGGCACTACTTCGGATGCTATGGTTCGAGAACGTCTTGACAGATTTTTAGCGGAGGATACTTGGTGTAATATATTCCCAAATTTTATAGTATCCCACCTCCCAATGCAGAACTCGGGCCATGCTCCTATATTGCAAGATGCAAACAAAGTTTTCGAACGTTGAAAAAAAAGAAAAATTATTTAGGTTCGAAGCAGTGTGGTTGTCTCGTAAAGAATGTGAGAAAGTGGTGTTGAAATCGTGGAAGAAGGAAATGGTGTATGACCCTCATAAACGAATCATGTCATGTGCTGAAGGCTTATCGAAGTGGGTTGCTGAGACTTTCGAGAGCATTAAAAGAAAATCCGAATAGCCGAAAATAATCTAGTAGAATGTCAGAAGGGCAGAGTTGATACCAGAATGTTATAGGAATGTAAACGACTTTCTGCAGAGCTAGATGAGTTAAGAAGACTTAAGGAATCATATTAGTTCACACGTGCTCGAGCTGATGAAATGAAGGTCGGTGACAAAAACACCTCCTATTTTCACAGGAAAGCGAGTCAGAGAAGAAAAAAAGAATAGTATTCTGGGTCTTTTTGACAAGCACGATGTGTGGCATGATGACCACAAAGAGATGAAGGCTATTGTGGCAGATTACTTTGCTTATTTATTTGCTACGGGTTCACCATTTGAGTTTGATGCTGCAATGGAAGGGTTGGAGTGCCGTGTGACAGAGGAAATAAATATGGTGTTGGAGAAGGAGAAGGAGCCACCAGGGAGGAAATTAAACAAGCACTGTTCTAAATGCATCCGAATAAATCAACGGGACCTAACGGTATGCATGCTTTGTTTTTCTAGAAATTTTGGCATATTATAGGTTCGTACATAATTGCTTTTGTGACAAAATGGTGGAATGGTCAGGTTGACTTGTTGGAGGAAAATAAAACTTGCATTGTTCTTATACTGAAGTGTGATGCCTCGAAGAGAATGAGTGATTTTAGATAAGTTGTTGCAATGTGTTATACAAAATCATCTCGAAAACCATGGCTAATAAGTGAAGGTTTTTTTTTAATGACATAATTTCGGTTAATCAGAGTGCTTTTGTTCCGGGTCGACTAATTACGGACAATGCTTTAGTTGCGTTAGAAATTTTCCACATAATGAAAAGAGAAGGGGAGGGGAGAGACGACTCGATAGTCCTGAAATTGGATATGAGTAAAGCTTATGATAGGGTTGAATGGATTGTTTTACAGAAGGTGATGCAGAAACTTGGGTTTGCAGGGGGGTGGATTGGGCGCATCATGATCTGTCTTTCTAGTGTTTCCTTCGCTTTTAAAGTAATGGAGAAATTTCGGGTGATGTGACTCCGACAAGGGGGCTTAGACAGGGTGATCCAATCTCGTCGTACTTGTTCCTGTTATGTGCCGATGCGTTTTCAACTCTGTTATCGCGTGCTGCATATGAGAGAAAAATAAGAGGGGCCAAAATATGTAATGGTGCTCCTAGAGTATCACATTTATTTTTTTGCTGATGGTAGTATTTTGTTTGCAAAAGTTACTCTACAGGAATGCTCTAGTGTTGTTGATATCATCAGGATTTATGAGAGAGCATCTGGTCAGAAAGTTAATCTTGAGAAGGCGGAAGTAACTTTTAGCAAATGTGTACCTTTTCATCGGAGAGCGGAGATGATTGAAACTCTAGGGGTGCACAAGGTAGATAGACATGAGAAATATTTGGGGTCTACCGACTGTGATTGGAAAGTCAAAGAAGCTGTGTTTGCTTGTCTGAAGAAGAGAATATGGAAGAAGTTGAACGGGTGGAAGGAGAAATTATTATTAAGGCCGGTAAAGGAAGTGCTTATCAAAGCGGTGGCACAAGCGATTCCCACGTACATGATGAGCATTTTTAAAATTATGGAAGGATTAATTGATGAAATCTATTCTCTACTCTGCAGATTTTGGTGGGGCTCTATGGAAGATGTGCGTAAGCTCCATTGACAAAGTTGGGAAAAGATGTGTGTGCCGAAGGCTAAGGGTGGTTTGGGGTTCCGTGATTTGAAGTGTTTTAATAATGCCCTCCTTGCGAAACAATCATGGCGATTGCTGAAGAATAAGGATACTTTAATTCATGACATTTTGAAAGCTCGGTATTTCAAGAGGTCGAGCATACTTGAGGCAAATAGGGGTTATGACCCTAGCTTCTCATGGAGAAATTTATGGGAGGGGGGGGGGCAAATCCTTGTTGAGGGATGGTCTTGTATGGAGAGTAGGAGCAGGGATATTAAGGTTTGGAGGGACCCTTGGATCGTTTTACATGGGAAGGTGACATATCCTAGCCTAGTGGTTGACTGTGATATGGAAATAAAGGTGTATGAGTTGATTGATGAGCATACACGCACCTGGGATTATAACAAAGTGAGTAGCCAGTTCCCAAGTGATGTTTGTGTGGTAATTTTGGCAACTCCGTTGTCTGCCATAAACTCTTGTGATGAGTATTATTGGCTGCAGACAAAAGGGGGGTTGTTCACAGTTAAGAGCTACTATTGGCTTGCTAGGCTGGGTGAAAATTTTGCTTATGGGGTTGCGAGTGATAGTAAAAATGAAGAGTTGTGGCGTAAGATGTGGCGTTTGGCTGGGCCTCCAAAGCACAAGCATTTCATTTGGAATGCCTGTAAAGGGATTCTAGCGGTGAAAGAAAGGCTGGTATATAGACACATCATTGAAGACGCAAAATGTCAGGTATGTCAAGCTTCAAACGAGTCAATAAATCATGTAATGTTTGAGTGTGAGCCTGCTGCGAAGATTTGGAAGCATTGTGTAAATGTGGACAAATTAAATGGGGCACCAAGTGACTCGTTTGTGAGTAAGTGGCTCTGGATAACTCGAAATTGTAGTGCAAATATAACACCCTAGAAATTCCTTTCCTTTAAAATGTTGGGTTTCGTAGCGTCCAACGCTATGCGGAAAAGAAACCCGCCCCAATAATTAACGCAGTAAAGCATGCACAAACATAATTAAACAATAATTAAGAGAAGGGAGAAAGAAGTAATACCCTTGAAGCGTGCTTCGCTCGTAAACCGAGCTCTTACTTCGAAGCTTAAAGCCTCACAAGCGTGACGGCCTCCAACGGCTCGTACCTACGACCCGACCCGAACGATCTTCGTCTCGAGGGTTAGTCGAGACTTGACCAAGTATAAAACAAGAGTTTTACGAACCTAAAGGTTTTCTCAATAATAAGAGATGCCTTTTTGAGTTCCACTCAAGTTGATTTCCAAATGCCCAATCTTGGGGTATTTATAGGGAAATGCAACTTGCACTCCCATTCATGATCAATGTGGGATAGTTGTATTTTTCAACTAATTTATTTAAATAAAAAATAAACTATAAAACAATGCAATCAACAATCAACAAGTGGCATGAGGAGAGGAGAGGTTAGGTGAGGACCATAACCATGGGGGGACCATTGCCTTGCTCCCCAAGGCATGGCTCTAAGCCTTGGTCCTCACTCTCCTTAAACCGGCATCAATGCCATGGTGAGCTGGCTGCTAGCCTTGCTGGCCAGCTAGCACAGCCAGCCCAGCACGGCAAGCACGCATAGCCCAGCCAGCGCATGCGTGCTGCTAGCGAGCCACGCATGTTGCTGTGCTAGGCGAGGCCCTAGCTCGCTGCTGCTGCTTGGTGCTGCCATGCAAGGGCACGCACACACGCAAGCAAGCACAGCGTGCTGCTGCTGCTTGGTGCTGCCATGCGAAGGCACGCACACGCAAGCGAGCACAACGTACTGCTGCTTGGTGCTGCCATGCGAAGGCACACACACGCAAGCGCCTAGCTATGCGAGGCCTTGCGATAGCACCTAGGCACGCAAGCTCGCATGCTGCGGTGGTGTTGTGCCACGCGAAGGCACGCACGCACGCACGCACACCATGGTGCTGCGATGGTGCTGCCATGCGAAGGCACGCACGCACGCACACCATGGTGCTGCGATGGTGTTGCCATGCGAAGGCATGCACGCACGCATACTATGGAGTTGTGCTAGCTCGAGCTAGCCTAGTAACCACAAGGCTAGGCCAATGTGATGCTACGGCTTTGCTCGAACTTGTTGCTTGTTGATTTTGCGATGCTCGGTCTCGACGCCCTAGGCTCGATATCCGACGTCTGTGTTCGTAATACTCTAGTGACTCATCAAATCCTTCGGATTGATTCGTCGGTTCGGCTCGGCAATTTGTTTGGGTTCGACCCGAAGGGTTCAGTCAAGACAAAGCTGTAATATTAATTGTTTACTAATATTATAGATCGGAAGCGGCCTCCACTCAGGCATTCCAATCACTTGATCTCACTGAAAAATTAGCTTCCTGATTATTCTGGACCCTCTATCAGAATAATACACTTGTTGGAAGGACACAATTCCTTTCAATCTCCCACTTGTCCTTCCGGACAAGTGTGCATACAGTGTATAGTCTATTTCCTATGCCGCTTAATGTCTCTTCATAAACTATAAGGTAAGAATCTTCGTCATCCTTATTACGTCCAGAAGTGTTTCTCAATCTCTGAGTTCGACTGTCAATAAGCAGATGATTTCTAAAATCCATCTGAGCACAGCCTTGTATTTTCACAGTCTCGCTCTTCGAGCGGCCTTGTAAACAACAAAGACATATTCCCTATTGTTAATAGGGGGACATTCCCAGTATTGTACTGTAAGCCTCTCTTACTAAGAGAACCTAGTCTCCCGAGTGTTCCCGTTATAATCCCCAGTTACGGCGGACGTTTGACAACATCAAAATGACTAGTACTCAAACAAGAGAACTTCCCAATACTCATGGTTGAGAAAACAGGTTCCGATAGCTATAATGAGAAATCTACTTATGATGTTTTTAAATCTCTTAAAGTACTCTCATAGGTCGATCCGGTGCAGTTCCAAAATAGCACCTGTGCAAATGATTTATGACTACTATGTCCTTGCAGCACAAGAAACGGTGTTGTAAATCATACTACACACTAATCTCCAGTGGTCATTAATCGTCCATCAGTTATATGACCTCGATTAGGGATAATTTTCAACTTAAATATTCAATGTTCACTTAACAAGTGTTTCTTTATCCAAGACATGGTCTTGATACCCTGTTTTGAATATTCTCATAAATCGAATGGACTCATTATTTAATTCTAAACCACAATTAAATAGCAATGGAGTGAATAGTAATTTTGCATGAAAAATTAATTACTCCATAAATGAATGGTTTCAACATAGTGTCTTACATTAAGACATCTAGTTTAATTAAAACACTTGTACAGGGAATTTCAAAGCCAATCTCCAATGTGCTTGATTCCCATTGCCTCGACGTGCTTGTTGTGCTTCTCTTGAGGCAGAGATTTAGTCAAAGGATCGGCCACATTGTCATCCGTTCCGATCTTACAAATTTTGATTTCACCTTCGGATTTCCATTCCCTTATCATGTGAAATCGCCTTTGGACATGTTTGACCTTCTGGTGCTCTCTTGGCTCTCTAGCCTGAGCAATAGCTCCATTGCTGTCACAATAGAGATCATTGGACCCTTGATGGAGGGTACAACACCAAGTTCACTGACGAACTTACGAATCCAAACTGCCTCCTTAGCTGCTTCCGAAGCTGCTAAGTATTCGGCTTCAGTTGTAGAATCTGCAGTGGTGCTCTGCTTGGCACTCTTCCAACTAAACGCTCCTCCATTTAGGCAAAATATGTACCCTGACTGTGACTTGAAGTCGTCTCTGTCAGTCTGGAAGCTAGCGTCAGTGTAACCTTCAACAACCAAATCTTTGTGGCCACCATATACCAGGAATTTATCCTTGTTCCTTTTCAGGTACTTTAGGATATTCTTGGCAGCAGTCCAATGCGCCTCTCCTGGGTCTGATTGGTATCGGCTCGTAGCACTTAAGGCATACGATACATCAGGCCTAGTACATATCATGACATACATGATCGATCCAATTAGCAAAGCATATGGAATCTGATTCATTCTATCCCGCTCAATAGGTGTCTGTGGACACTATTTCTTGCTGAGAGTTGTGCCGTGGGACATGGGTAGGTGCCCTCTCTTGGCATTCTCCATGCTGAATCGTGCCAGTACTTTATCAATGTAAGTACTCTGGCTCAATCCAATTATCCTCTTAGATCTATCCCGATAGATCTTGATGGCCAATATGTACTATGCCTCTCCTAAGTCCTTCATTGAAAAACACTTTCCCAGCCAGCCCTTTACGGACTCTAATAATTTTGTGTTGTTTGCAATGAGCAATATGTCATCAACATACAAGACTAGGAATGCGATGTCACTCCCACTGACCTTCTTGTAAACACAAGACTCATCTGGATTCTTGATAAAACCAAATTTACAGATGGCTTTATCAAATCGTAGATTCCAACTTCTGCTTGCCTGCTTCAGTCCATAATTGGACTTCTTAAACTTGCATACCTTTCGAGCGTTGCTTGGATCAACAAAACCTTCCGGCTGTGTTATATATACAGTTTCTTCCAAAATCCCATTAAGGAAAGCGATTTTGACATCCATTTGCCATATTTCATAATCGTAATATGCAGCAATCGCTAGGATGATCCGGACGGACTTAAGCATTGCGACTGGCGAAAAGGTTTCATCATAATCAATCCCTTGGATTTGCCTATAACCTTTTGCCACCAGTCTAGCTTTGTATACTGATACATTTCCATCTTTGTCTGTTTTCAATTTGAAAATCCATTTGCAACCGATGGGTGTGTAACGTTCGGGCAAATTTACCAAGTCCTAGACTTAATTTTCAGACATGGATTCCTTCTCATATTTCATGGCCTCTTGCCATTTAGCAGAGTCATGGCTCGTCATAGCTTGTTTGTATGTCGCTGGCTCATCTCCATCCATGACTAGGATGTCCTGATCTTTGGTTAAGACAATACCAAGGTATCTGTCTGGTTGAGATCTTGGCCGTTGCGACCTATGAAGGGTAATAAGCTGAGCATTTACATTGTC